GCCCATCTAAGGTACACTACACTTAGTTGTCTTATCTCCTTAGGCTCCTCTTGGCTATGACATTTTCTCAGAATTTTTTTTGAGTTTTTGACAGTTTCGAGGGGTACTAGTCAGTTGTTTTGTAGAATGTTCTATAGTTGAGATTTGTTTGATGTTTTTCTCATGATTAGACTGGGGTTATGGGTTTTGGGGAGGAAGATCACAGAGGTAGAGTGCCATTCTCATTACAGCATATCAAAGGTATCAAGATATCAGGGCTATCAGTGTGATTTATCACTGTGGACCTTAACCTTGACCCCCGGCTCAGGTAGCATTGTTTTTATCAGGTTTCTGCACTGTGAAGTTACTCTCCACCCCTGTACCCCCTTTTCATATTCTCTTAGGAAGGGTGTCACTATGTACAACCACTGCTAGTTCTTATTCACCGAACTGTCCAAGGTGGGTATTTCTGATGGCTGTTGTCTTTTCTTCCACCAGAATTCTCCTACTTTGTTGACATCTCCTAGGGCTTTATCATCTAAATCCAGCCAGCGTTAAGGAAGAGAAAATGTGGAGGATAATGTTTGCTTTTAAAAGCCTTGGCCTGAAAATGGCACACATCACTTCCACTTAACATTCCATATGACACTCATTCATCTGCCAAACCTAACTGCAAGGGAGGCTAGGACATATGGTCTAGCTGGGTGCCCAGGAAAAAGAGGAAATAGATTTTAGAGAAAATCTAGCAGTATTTGCTATACTACTTTAGAGTACAAAAGGGAACAAACTAAACCAATGTCTTACCGTCATCAAATAATATAGCCATTGCTTCATAAAAAAATGAAAAAATAATGGAAAAACATAATCTTTGAATCAAGGAGAGTCATATAAATTGAAAATAAAATTAGCTTAATAAAAAACTTACTCTGTTGGCCATATTTTTCTTACTTCACTGTTTACCTGTGAACATTTGTTGAGAATAGGCACTTACCTGCGTGTCAGCATTTGCAAAACTCTGCTGTAAATTATGCCTATACCAGATTCTGCATCATTCCCAAAGTCTGCCATGCTGTTTTCTCCTTCATCCATTGTTTTTCTGGAATGGCCTTCCTCTGGTTTCTTTGCCTATGAAAATGCTATTTACTCCTCAAGTGACAGGTGAGGTGCCTTCATCTAACTTCTAGACAGAATTAGTCCCTTGCTCCTTGTGACATCATGTCATTTTGCTTCCATTCATCATTTAACAGCTATCTCACACTATGTATACGTATGTTTCATGCATTAGACTGGGTGCTCCCTGAGGACAGCACAGGTTTTATTAATCTGTTAGATGCCTAAGCATGGTCTGAAAAATAAAAAGCATGTTTTCTTGAATGTACTCAGGATGCTAGATATCCCCAAAAGTGGTCTCATTTTTTTAAAACCCCTTTCTTTAAAATACAACAAAACATTTTCTTTTTTTCCCCCCAATTATAAAAGTGATCCTCCCTTATGATAGACAAGCCTTCCTGGTGGAGGTGATCTTGAGCTGAGCCTGGAAAGGTTGATAGGATTTGATAATAATAAAGGTATAGGCCTGTCAGGCAGGCTATACTGCTTTCCATGACACATCCCAGGTTCAGGGCATTTGTTTAATAGATGGTCAGGGCTCCTTTGAAACAGCTATAGTGTAAAACATTCACTTTCATAGATCATCACATAATTAAAACTCAGACTCTGAGCTTGTTCTGCACTGCTCTTGGGTGGTGGGGCTTGGTGAACAGCCTTATGCTCATTATCTTGAACAGGAGTTATCAACCTGAATTCCCAGGGTCCCAACAGGGGGATAGCTTCACCGTAGCAAAAGGAGTGTTTAATTACAGCTACAGAAAGTGGAGCATGAAAAAAAAACCAAACAATCATTTTCAGGCTTTAATGATTCAGCTGCCATGCATCTCCTTACCTATCAAAACATGACTTCTTAAAGTGACCGTATCAAGTTTATTAGAGATAAAGTATGAATTATATGACAGTTGTTCCTTTCCTTCCTTCTATCCTTTTCTATCCTCTACTCTTAATCTTTTGATTACTTTAGTGACTTTACAAGCTCAATATTTTACTGAAACATGAATCAGCAAAGTCTATTTGTAAAATACTTCCTTTGGTTTACTTACACTGTTTCCTCAATTTTCAGGGTTGAAAAATTAGACCTTAATTAGGATTTATATTTTTATGGTTTTTGTATTTCATATTATCACATTTATTTATTCATCTGAAATTCTAAATTATTATAGTTAGCGTAGAAATTATTTTTTCCCATTACACAGATAGGAAAACAGCCTCAGATACTAAGTGACTTGCTTAGGACCCCACAGCAACTGTGGTTCAAAGCTGGGTCTCCTGATTGCACATCTAGAGCTGAACGTACCACATTAGCATCTGCCTGTCAACCACTTAGCCTTGTGGCAGAGGCTCACACATTCTTTTATTTCTCCTAATTATAAAAGTGACCCACACTTATGATAGCCAAATCTTCCTGAGAAGGTGATCTGGAACTAAGCCTGGGAAGGTTGGTAGGGCTTAATAGATGGTAGGGGTACAGGATATTTTTTTGCAGTGTGGTTAACTAGCTACATGCTTCTCTGACATGTCCCTTGGGGGTCAGGGGCATGGAGACAACACATTGAGAATGAATCCATGCCTTGATTTCTGGCACTACTTAGAGGAGAAGATTCTCAAATCAAAGAGACTTTAAGTCAAAGGTGCTCAATTTATAAATACACTGAATTTATTTAACCACAGTAATAATACATAGTTATCAATCAGAATGCCTAATTTCCAGTTTAGTTCTTTTTTTAATACCCTACTTCCTCATTACCAGTTTTCTTGGCAACTTTTCTTCTTCTTAGGACTGCTTTGAAGAAGACATGTTTATATAGGCATTGCCTCAAACTCCCAAGTATGTGTGATCTAGTCATATGTGCAAAAGACATATGTCATAGGGAGCAGATCCATTCCCAAAGAGTTTATTGCATTGAATCCTTATCTAGAACTCTTATCTAGACTCAAACATCAATAAATGTGTTTAGTTTAACACACAGTACTTAGCATATTGCCTGCCCAATAAAAGAGGTTCTGAGTAAATATTGATTTAATAAATTGGTGAAGGAATGACACTGTCAGTTGAAATTCATTGATTGTCCTTTTGAGGATAACACATAACTACTTCACCAGTCATATGATTTCTATCCTTGCCTCAATTTTTATCACCAGAAGCAGCATTTTTCTTTTTCTACTAATTTTTATGAAATAGGGCTATAAATGTGCTAGAGTAGTCTAATTTTTGCACAAAACTGAAGTAGAGACAAAGATGGTGGTGATGTACCGGTCAGAATGGCCATCATCAAAAAATCTACAAACAATAAATGCTGGAGAGGGTGTGGAGAAAAGGGAATCCTCTTGCACTGTTGGTGGGAATGTAAATTGATACAGCCACTATGGAGAACAGTATGGAGGTTCCTTCAAAAACTAAAAATAGAACTACCGTATGACCCAACAATCCCACTACTGGGCATATACCCTGAGAAAACTATAAATCAAAAAGAGTCATGTAACACAATGTTCATTGCAGCACTATTTACAATAGCCAGGACATGGAAGCAACCTAAGTGTCCATCGACAGATGAATGGATAAAGAAGATGTGGCACATATATACAATGGAATATGACTCAGCCATAAAAAGAAACAAAATTGAGTTATTTGTAGTGAGGTGGATGGACCTAGAGTCTGTCATACAGAGTGAAGTAAGTCAGAAAGAGAAAAACGAATACCGTATGCTAACATATATATATGGAATCTAAAAAAAAAAAAAAGGTTCTGAAGAACCTAGGGGCAGGACAGAAATAAAGACGTAGAGAATGGACTTGAGGACACCAGGAGGGGGAAGGGTAAACTGGGACGAAGTGAGAGAGTGGCATGGACATATATACACTACCAAATGTAAAATAGATAGCTAGTGGGAAGCAGCCGCATAGCACAGGGAGATCAGCTCGGTGCTTTGTGACCACCTAGAGGGATGGGATAGGGAGGGTGGGAGGGAGACGCAAGAGGGAGGAGATATGGGGATATATGTATATGTATAACTGGTTCACTTTGTTATACAGCAGAAACTAACACACCATTGTAAAGCAATTATACTCCAATAAAGATGTTAAAAAAAAAAAAGAATGGTGATAATACTGTAGAAAATAGATTGTTGCTGGCAGCTAGTACCACAGTGAGAAAGCTTTAAATATTTATGTTAGCTGCTATACAAAAATTCAAATGTGGTATACAAAGATCAGTTTGATGGTATTAGTGTGTAGGGTGTTTTTAAAAGCTGAAGACCACTTCTGGTTTGAAATACAGAAATATGCATGGCTTGATCTTTTTGCGTGTGCTGGAAGAATGACTTGTAGTATTGGGGCTCACTCGGATGAAGTATTCACTGAAGGTGAAATCTGTTTCTACATACTTTCCAGTGACATCTCATGGCCATGGGGGTTTGGCTTTTTCCTGTGGTTCTCAACCAAGCCTGAATTTAATCAGAATTTCAAAACCCAGGAAACATAGATAGAGAGTTGTCATTCAGCAGAAATAGAAGTCTTCCCGGAATTGACTATGACTGCTGAAAGCTTAGCAATTACAGTGACAGTTTGGTCTGAACAGTGACGCTGGAATGGGACCACAAACTTAGTGGCATCTTGCAGGCAGACACTAGATGCAGGAGGGAGAGACATAATTCATTTTTTAGCATACCTCTGTATTTTCTAATCATAATTAGCTTTTATTCATTTACATTTGGTTTAGTGTTGCAGAGATTTATTGATCTGCCTCTAGAAAGAAAAAAAAATACAGATATGTTACCAAAATGCCTTCTTTTCAAATAGTTATTTCAATATTTAAACCATTGACATTTATGCATTTACTTCAGGAATGTTTTTGACAATTTGCAAGTGTGTATTAAAAAAAATTTCAATAATCATTTCATTTTGTTCTGCAGAACCCCAGCTGAAAGGAATTGTGACAAGGTTATTCAGCCAGCAGGGATATTTCCTGCAGATGCACCCAGATGGTACCATTGATGGGACCAAGGACGAAAACAGTGACTACAGTAAGGCACATTAGCTTCTTGCAATCTAATTACAATCAAATGTATGGCCCAGTGTATCTTAGACTTAAAGCATGGCCAGGCTACCTTTGGAACTATTGAACTACTAGTAAGCTGGTGTCTTTTCCTTTATCCTTCTTGCTATGATTCCCTATAGCCAGGAGACCGTAAGGGACAGAGATTATGTACTCAATAAGAAGGTAGGAGGCTTGAAGGAGTTCTGACTGGTCAGTGGACAAGAATTTCCTCTCATCCCACTGTTTGTAGTCAGGATGATGTTAAGTATTCATAGAAGCAAGGCAGACCTTCCAGCACAAAATGGTATTTTCATCCTGGAACCAAACAGTAAACATGTTATAGTAATTCTTAGAACATCATTTCTGGAAGAGCAAAGTTACTTCTCAAGGTAAACATTGAATATATACATATGTATATTACATGTTATTTTATTTTGATTGAGGACAAAATTATTGATTTAAAAAGGAAAATATATTAAAATATTATGATAACAGATAATGAAGACTGGTAGAACTGCAATTTTGTTTATAGTTTTTTGAGATAAAATGCAAACATTAAAAGATTATTGATAATATCCCTGGAAATAATGTTTAAGTAATTTAACTATATAGGTGACAAGTTTGATAACTAAACAAATCATCAAGGTCTGAGAGAGTATATTTGCATTTCAGAAGAATTTTGATTGCAAGCCTCAGAGCCAAGAATGATCACTTTCATCATATCTTTCAGTTTCTGAATAATCGTGTACAGATACCTGGGGGGAAATTGGTGTTATTCTAAAATTATACAGGGCATCATATTGTTTCCCAAAGTTTGTCTGTATTTCCTGCTAGATCTTTAGTACTAGTCACATAGTAAATGCTCATTAAATCTATATCCAATTGAGTTGTCTTCTGATGGAGGTGATTTTGTGGTTAGACTGACATTCTACCCAACTGCATAAGATAATCTAAGAAGTCTGATATTTTACGGTGAACTATCTTTTAAATTAAAAATAAAGATCTCAGGAAAGATCTACAATCCCTAGAGTGTGAAAATGCTCTTCTCCACCCCTTCTAAATTATTCTTTGTTCACTTAATGTTACACATTACAAAATATGAATTACAATAAAGATCTTATTATAAAGAATTTCATCCCATTTTCTGCCAAGTAGGTGATTAGCTTATTGTGGTCTGCATTGTTGGTTTCTGTTTGTGGGAATGCATTCTTTAAATGATTTAAGGTTTAACTGAGTACAGAAGAATGAGGATGCTTTCCTCTCCATGTAGAATTTTCATTATTGCATGTGAACTTGAATTCAGATTTAGTGAAGCTACAAGTATAGGTGGAAAGAATCAAGGATGTGGCTTAGCTGTGTCACCCGTACTATCTCTGGGGTATCCCTTGTTCTGGTTTCTTTTTCTATAAAATGATGTGGCTGGAGATGATAATGTTAATATCCTTTGTCAGACAGAACGATCCACCCAACTTAAAAAAAAGATTGAAAAATTATAAGTTGGTGAACATAGATTCAGTCCTCAAGTGAGCCAAATAGCCATAGCCACAGGATACAGCTGTTACCTAGACAGCTGTCCTATGGACCTGTGACGTTTATCACGGGGCAGTGGCAGAGAGGTGAGGGTGAAAGCGTGGGGTCAACCAACAAAATACCTTCCTTCAATGTTTTTAGAAAAATAATTGAAAGTGCTTTCTCTGCAGATGCTGGGTCAATGGCTAATATAGATCTACAGCCACATATAAATATACACACTTATACACACATATGCATAATATATATACGTATATATAGAGGCGTTACGCATAACACACATACTGAGGGTGCTACATTTTGTCAGAAACTTTTAGAAACTGTCTGAATTCACAATGTTAAAATACCTTATTTTTTATTAAGACAAACTACTGCATACATTTATTGATATGTTGGTATTAAAAGGAGTTTAAATATACAAAATAATAAGACTTAGATAAATTCATCTGGATACCCAACCCCGGCTTAAAATTTAGCTAAAAACATCAATACATTTGAAACCCTTGTGTGCTCTTTCTGGTGGAGTCCTGCTTTTCCCTTCAGTACCAGACATAACAACTATCTTGAATTTGACATTTTTTATTTCTGTGCAGTTTTATAAATACATTTTTTCATATATACATATATATGCATATACTTACATCCGTCATAACATCATTTTGCATGTTTTTAAACTTTTTATAAGAGGAACATTACTATATATAACTTTTATGTATTTTTCTTCCCCAGTATTTTGGTTGTGAGATGCATATATGGTGATATATTTGCTTTATATTATTCATTTTCATTTTTGTAAAGTATCCCATTGCATGAACATACCCAAATATATTTATCCATTCTCTTTTGGGTGGATAATTATCATTTCTATTTTAAGGCAGTTACAAATAGTGCTGCTAAAATATTTCTTGTACAAGTTGAAGAGGCCTTCGCTGACCATCCTTAATAAAACTAAACATTTCACCTTGACCTATTCTGATACCCTAGTATTTTTTTTCTAGTCATAGCTCCTGTGATGACCTGATATGCATATTGTTGCAGTTTATTTGTTTATTTTTGATCTTCCTAGCAGGAGAATGTTTCATGAGTGAAGAGATTTTGTTTTGATCTTTGATGTATCTTTATTATTTTTTTTCACATCTTTGTTGGAGTATAAATGCTTTACAATGTTGTGTTAGTTTCTGCTGTACAACAAAGTGAATCAGCTATATGTATACATATGTCCTCATACCTCCTCCCTCTTGTGTCTCCCTCCCACCCTCCCTATCCCACCCCTCTAGGTCATCACAGAGCCTCGAGTTGATCTCCCTGTGCTATGCAGCAGCTTCCCACTAGCCATCCATTTTACATTTGTGTCTTTAGAACCTAGAATGATCATTAGTACATAGTAAGCACTCAACAAAAATCAAAACGAATGAATGAATGTGTCCTTGTGCATGTGTAAAAGTTTCTCTAGATCATTGGCTAAATATTCTATCCACCTAAATATTTTTAACATTTCCTGTTGAAATAATGTTAGACTTCAGAAAAATTACAAAATAGTACAGGAAATTTCTGTGTACTCTTCACCCAGCTTCCCCTAATGGGTACCACTTTTATGTAACAACAGTACAATTATCAAAGCCAGGAAATTAACCTTGGTACAATACTATAAATTGAGCTATAGACTTTATTCAGGTTTTGCCAGTTTTTTGACTAATGTACTTTCTTCTGATCCCCCCACACATATTTTAATTAAAAATATCCCATGAAAACAAATAATTTTTATTTTTACATTTTCTGAGTGTGGATTGAGATAAAAATATCAAAGAAGGATTTAAATTCTACTCATGTTTTTTAATAGAAAATTATAAACCTCTAAGTTGTTAAAATGCCTTTTCTTTCTCTACTTTGTGTGGGCAGGAGTAAAAGCATTTGATTGTTTGGAAAAAAAAATCTTGTTACTATGAGCATCTGTCAGAAGTGTGCTGTTTGGTTCAGTAGACATCATTAGGTCCAGCCAACCTTACCATAGTATCTTGGATTGAATTGATAGGACACCTGTTCTTTTGTTCATGAAGAAAAGACTAATTACATGTAATTGAGTACAAAACCAAATGGGTTTGTCAGCAGCAACAGATACAAATCTCTGCAAGTGTAATGATACCAAAGATGCAAAACAGTGTTGGAACACTGACACAAAAAAGACAACAGCAGTTTGGAGAGTATTAATAGGAACATTTTACATAAAATTAGAAAGGTAATTATTCTGCTCCACCAGTTTCCGTAGGAGAAGATACATTTGAAGAGGTCAAACATGCTGGGGTGAAAACAATTAAGATATGCAAATGCATTGTTGCCTTTTTCTCTGAACAAAAATATTAACAGCCATTTCACTGTGGCATGAGCTGCCTGACAAATGAATACAATGGTGAAACTGAAGATATTCAAGCTGGTGCTGCACTGGTAGTTGTAGAGCGTTTATGAAAATACCCCTTCAGTGTGGGAGGGGAAGAACGTGGTGGTGGTTGAGATAGTTTCAGAACTCAGTGACTTTTAAGGTCTCCTTCAGTCTTGAGATTCATTTAAAAATTATTTTGAATAGATAAGATAAGTATATGGTACAGAATTGTAAAGGCACAAAAAAGGATATACAGTTGAAAAAGAACAAAACAGTTCTTGACAGCCAAGAGCTGGCTCGGCACTACCAGCAGGCCAAATGTGAACAGTTTCACAGGACACCAAATCAGGCAAGGCCACTGTGACCATGATGGATCAGGACAAAAACAAGACCACTCTGTAATCACATCTGAATGCAGACAAAAACAAGAAAGTTGTCCAAACTACAAAATGATAAAATCTTGCTGTACCCTGGTTTATATGGGTGGGTGCTGCTTCATCACCAGGAACAGGATGTTGCTCTGTTCTTCTTGCCTTCTAGATAAGAATTATTAAGATAGCCAAGTATAGAATTACACCTGCATCCAAAGAGCATTCAACTTGGAATAAATCTGCTTTCTTTGAGCCCCCTTAAAAATCACTTAACATGAGACTAAATCCTGGAAGTCCTTTCTTACACCTTACTAAGACACCCCAGTTCTGCCATGGTGTATATTTTTCCTCCTCGCTGAGAGTCAGTGAACCCAACTTTGTTCAACCACAGATGTGTGGATGTGTTTCTTTGACTAGAAGACATTAACATAGTCAAAAGCAATTTTCTGTCCCTCCCCTCTCTGCCACCTGGCCACATTTCTTGGTATTCTTTCAGATGCAGTCTGTGCATTAACAACATACACAATATTATATATCTGTATATGTCTATCTCTCTCTCTCTCTCTATCTATCTTTCTAATCTTGTTCAGTACTTTTTCTTAACTTAAAATGTTGTATTTACAAGACTTTTCCATGTTAGGACATATTTAAATGGGATATTTTATTTAACCTAGTTTCCTCTTGAAGGACATTTCAGTTCTTTCTAAT